AAATATAGAAGGTTCTTCTCTAGGGAAATTGTCAGCTATCTGAGAAGTAACACAGACACTGACACTGGCCATCTGTCAGAGTCTTCCCCGCTGGCCCTGTCCCAAAGCCGCAGCTGCAGAAGCCCCACTTACATACTCGACACTGGCCAGCCTTTAGGGTCCTGACTGTTAAATTTGGAGAACAAACAGGACTCCTAGTGGACTGCCAAAACTCAGTAGGCATTTGAGGAGACGTCTAAAGGCAGAGACCAAAACAAAACAAAAAGGAACTCAGAGGAAATGGGGACAATACAAAGAGCAAGAGAAAAGTAAACAAATAGACAAACAAAAAACCCTCCACACCAACAATGAGGAAACAGTCCCATGGTTTATATCTTCAGAGAGTTTTGGGAAGCTATCATGTCCATATCACGTCTATACCCAGATACCGGAAAAGTCCCTAGGAAATTAAAAAATGGAATGTGCAAATAAAAATTGTAGTAGAGGGATTGGAAATGGAAGGAAACGTCTCATTAGGTGGAATGAAAAGACTAATGTAATATGGGAGAGAAAAGAAAAGGTAAATGAAAGATAAATCTGGAAGGTTAACTTATGAATAATAGGAGTTCCAGAAATAGAGAAAAGGTAAATGGAAGGAAGAAATTATAAAATAAATTGTACAATAAAATGTCCAGAAATTTGAGGACATAAGTTCTGAGACTAAAAGGGCTTACCAGGTATCCAACCCAAGGACTGATGTGGTAAGATGCATTGTGAAATTTGAAGAAGCCAAAAATAAAGAGGAGACCTAAGAGGGACTGCAGGTGATGAGCACAAATGCGGGGGTTCAGGGGTCAAAAGAGCGTAAACTGCTCAAGGGCGGCTCCAGGAAATGGAAGACAACGGAGCTCTGATTTCACACAGTATTTTTAAAAATGGAAAATTAATTCCAACCTAGCATTCTATATTCAGCTAACCTCTCAGTCAAGGCAGAAAAAAAGACATTGTCAGATGAGCAAGGCCTCAGATTTTTGCTTTTCACACATTCTAAGAAAGGCTTTGAAAACAGGAGACATGGGATCCAGGAAGCAGGAAATTTCCAAGGTGGCAGGGAAGGGAGGTCCCTGGATGGCAGTTGCTTGTGGCTCAGAGACTAGCAACCTGGAATGGGGCAAGTGGGTGGGAGTTCTCCGGAACAGAGGTGAACAGGAACCTGATGGGCTTAACTGCTTCGAGGAAAGATTGTCATTACCTTCCAGGAAGTGACACCAAGAGCAAGGAGGGTTGAAGTGGACAGTTGCTGTATTTCCTTACAAGCTTCGTGGTGCTGTGACCGTTGGTTTTATATGCCAGTTATGTAGGCTGACACCCTCAATTATTGCTCAATTATTCCAGCAGTGATCGAGGGAGGGGCAGGCACTTGGTCAATGTGATTGATCTCCACAGTCAGTCGATTTAAGGAGATTGTCCCAGACAATCTGGAGGGCCTGATTCAATCAGTCGAAAGGCCTTAAGAGCAGAGCCAGGGTTTCCTGAAGAAATTCCACAGTGGACTGCAGCTGCAGCTGCTGCCGAGAGCCCCAGCCCGCCCTTCCTGACCTCCTCACCGGTGGACGTCAGACTTGCCCCGCTGGCCCCGCGATTGCACAAGCCAATTCCTTGCAACAAATCTATTAAAACACATCTCCTCCTCATTCTGCTTCTCCAGTTGAACCTGCATTTTAAAATCACCTATACAAGTTATTTGTACAAAACTATACATTATAGTAGAAAAGAAAATTTCAACCACTCAGAAAGAAGAAGAAAATAGAAGTTAATTGGAAAAGGACTGGAAGGAAATAGGTACATTGAAACGTTTTTAACATGGTGAGTGTTTACCTCCGGGTGCTGGAGCCGTGGCTGTGCCAGCACAGTCTCTGGGACAAGCCTTGTTGCCCCCACTTTCCATCCAACATGCCTCGTCGTGAGACGTTTTCTCTGGTTCCTACCACGTGCCCTTAATGAGTTAAAGCTTATGGGGCGTAATTTTAAAACAGACTGATATCAAATGATTCAACTTAGCTGCATTCATTTGGTGTAAATGATGTTTGAAGTGTGGGTGTATGATGGACTTTTAGCAACGGGATTGGTTGTTTACCGTAAACAACAACGTAAAAGACTCAGGGAGCTGGCCCTGGTGCGGTCACCCTGAGGGGCCACCCTGTACATCTCCCACCTCAAACCTCAGAAAGCCAACAGCGGCACAAATAACCTTCGGACAGGACCTAGGAGGGCATCGTGTTCAAAGGGCTGTTTACGGAGATGAGAGCAGCTGACCACTGGACTGATGACTCCTGGGCTGAAAATTGCAGCAACATTGTAGAGAACTAACATCACTACATTGTCTGCTCTAACTTTAAAAGGCTTTTTATTTGTAGATTAACATTACTTTGGTGTCATTCAAGTTCTTAGTTATCAAGAACAGAATTCACTCCAGCTAATGTTTTGCAGGGAAGGGATTTATCAAGAGATGTGATGCAGTTGCACAAAGTCTCCAAGTGGGTAAGATAATCAGACTTATGGGGCATAATTTAAAGATTTTATTTATTTATTCTTAGAGATAGGGGAAGGAAGGAAGAAAGAGGGAGAGAAACATCCATCAGTTGCCTCTTGTACATGCTCCGCCCCGACTGGGGACCTGCCTGCAACGCAGGCATGTGTCCCGACTGGGAATCAAACCAGCAGCCATTTGGTTTGTAAGACAACACCCAACTAGCTGAGCTACACCGGTCGGAGCTGGGGCATAATTTAAAAATAAGTTAACTTTAGCTCTGGCCGGATTGTTCGGTTTGTTGGAGCATCGCCTTGAATCCCAAAGGTTGCTGGTTCGATCCCAGTCTGGGTGGGGGAGGGAGGCAACCGATCGACGTTTCTCTCACTCGCTCTCTCTTTCCTATCTCCATGCCTGTCTCTTTAAAATCAGTACACATATCCTTGGTGGGGATGAAAAGAAACAAGTTTATATTTTAAAATTACGCGTGTCAGGGATATCTCCCACTTTACATCCCAGGGCTGCCCTGTGGCCACTCGTGACCTCCGCAGGCCTCACATGCAGCAACCGGTCCGGGCGACAGGCCTCTGGCAGCCGCATGTACCAGAAAGGGTTTTGCCTGGGGTCCGCTTCCTCCCCTCAACCAAAATGTCACTAGAGGGTGTGCGTGGGGGGGGGCCCAAGTCCTCCACCCGCATTCCAGTTGCAAGGGGTGCTGGGAAAGTGAGTATGAAAAATTATGTTAGAAAATGACTTTTTTGACATTATTACTCTGGTAACTTACATTTCATAAAATGCAAATATCACACATTGGTACCTCAGGTGAATTTTTACGTATGTCAACCCACATATCAAGAGAGGATATTTCTGTAGCCCCAGAAAGTTCTCTCATGCCCTCTCCCAGTCATTGCCCCACAAGAGAACCACTTCTAACACCCTAAAGTCATCTTACTGATTCTTGAACTTTGTCAGAATAGAATCCAACTTGTCAACACAGGGAATGTCCAAAACTGTAGAAAAATTTTATAACAATTTATTTGAGCCAAACAGAGGATACACGTGGGAGCAAGATACCAACAGAATGCAAAAAATGCTCCTCCGAGTGGGCGGGTGCAGCTCCTTTTATGAGTTTAGAATTAAGGAGGGGATGTAAGGAAGATGGTAGGAAGGTGGGAGGAAGCAAGGTGGGGCTGGATTCTAGGGTCTACATGCTCTGTCTGGAAACCAAGTGTTTCCAAAGGGCATTAACCTACACACACAGAAACAAAGGACAGAGCTGGCCCAAGGCAAAGATAAACCTGTTACTAAAGAAGTGACAGGCTCAGGGCCAGCCCGCCTGCCCTGATCTTCTCAGTTAGGAATTTATGATCTGATCACCCTGCGAGATTACTTTTCAGGGGACATTTTACATTCATTTACAATCAGTATTTACCAGTACTCTTTGTATCTGGCTTCTTTCGCTCAGCATTAAAGACTCAGGAGATGGTAATTTTTCTTGTTTGTTCTTTTTTAATCTTTTAAAAAATTTTTAGAGAGAGGGGAAGGAAGGAAGAGAGAGAGAGAGAAACACTGATGTGAGAAACATCCATCCATTGCCTCTTGCGCGCACTGATTGGCATCGAACCAGCAGCCCCCAGGTATGTGCCCTGACTGAAAACTGAACGAATGACCTTTTGGTTTACAGGACAAGACTCAATCCACTGAGCCACACCAGCCAGGGCTCTTGTGTGTCCTTTCCCTCAGTGTTCGGCAACGAGCAAAATATGACTGTAACTGAATATACTTTTATAGTTAGTAGTGAGTACCTTTAAAATGTTAATAGTGTTATCTGCCAATGACAGCATTTTCAGAAAATAGTGTGTGTGTATATATACACATACATGTGTGTATATATATATACACACACATATACATATACATATATATGTGTAATGTATTTTTTGGGGGCTAAGCAGAGAAAGTAGGACTTCAAAAATCAGGGACCTATAGAAGAAAGAATAAAAACAAAAACAAATTCAAGGAACTATGCAAAACAGTTTATTTTATGTATTTATAGCGGGGTCACAATTAAGATGTATGTTGCCCCAAAGCTGCAAGGTGCCTACAGACTCCTCTCAGGCCCCCATTGTCCCCAAGCCCAGGCTGTTGGCAGGTCCTGATGGGTGTCCGCCAGTGGCTGAGTCCCACTGTAGAGGTCAGCAAGAGGCCCCAGAAGAGGAAAAGCACAAACCTGTACCATTTCTGTACCAATTGAAGGGCCTGCTGGGGCTGGCACCGAAGATAGAGACGGAGGGGTCTCTGTGCTTTGGAGGACCTCTCCGGCTGCAGGAATTCCAGACCGAGCCTTGGTTACCACAGTCTGGGAGGGGCCGTGTGAGCGAGAGCCAACCCAAGGAGGAGTGTAGTCGCCTGCTCTGTCAGCTTCTGCCTCGACCTTGAGCTCGCAGATAATAAGCTGGGCCCCAGGGGCCCACAGCCAATCTCTTGTCCGGCCCTGCTGCAGTAGGAGTAGGGACTGTGGCCACCGTGGGGACAGCATGCTGGTCAGGGGGCTTCCTCTGCGCTCAGTCCTGATCAAAGGCTGCCAGCCCCTCTTGAGTGCCCCACAGGAGGGGCCAGGGCACACCAGGGTGCCCGCTGGAGAGGGAGCCCGAATCTCCACTCGTGTGCCTCGCCCTTTCAGTGAGATCCCCTCCCCTGGTGACAATGGCTGGCTAAATCTCTACCATTTCTGGAGGGAGAAGGGTTCACAGAATTTACACTATCACCAAGTCCAGAACTTCCAGAAGTATGGCCCCATTTACAGGTAAGCGTGCCACAGGGTGGGGGCTGGTGGGACAGGGAGGGAGAGGCGCCTGGGCAGCCTTGCTGTGCTCCCCTCCCTAAACTGTCTGCTCGCCCACTTCAGGCTCTCGTCCACCTTCTGACTTCATTTTTTTTTATGCCTGGTGATGGTGGCAGGAGAATGGATAGGGCTTCCCAGGCAGTGGGTTGAGTTCCCAGTTCCCAGCCTCAACCTTTCCCAGATCCCTATCCTGTCGGGGTGCTGGCCTTGCCCCTCAGTTCTGTGCATCTCTGGAGCAACTGATTTTGCCCCTTCCACTTGGCCTGGCTAGAGCTCCTCTTCTGCAAATATCCATCTTGCTTTGTGCCAGGAAGAAGGGATTTTGTTTTTTGGGCCTCTGAGCACTGCCACTCTGGGCGGTAGGGTGATGAGGTGATGCGGTGAGGGGCGGGGGTAAGCATGGTGGGGGGGCAGGGGTGTTGGCAGGGAGCGAGCAGGGGAACAGGTCTCTGAGGGCTGCCCCCTGCGGCAGGCTTTGCTTGTCCTGGTTAGTAGTTTCTAAGGTGAGTCACCTTCAGGCCATGCCTGGGTTCTTTTCTGAGAGAGTAGTTGAGCAGAATGGGAGGTGGTGGAGGTGGTGGTTGGCACAAAGAGGGAGCATGAGGAGGTATGTGCACTTTACGGTGAGTGGTGGGGAAAAGGCATGATAGGACATGTTGGCTGGCTGGCTGGGTGGGGGCTGGAGGAGTCCAGCTGCTCACTCAACACCTCCTCCCTCTCCCCCAAACCCATCTGGAAGCCTGAAGTGCCTTTTCCACAGCTGGTTGGAGGCCGGAAGGCCCCAGGCTAAGTGTCAGGCTTGGGAGAAGATTGCTCCTGAGTCTGTGGTCCCCGCCCCTCTCTCCCCCAGGCCTGTCTGTGCCTCCATCCCTCAGTCTCACTTCAGGGTAATCCCTTGTGAGTCCCTGCTTCCTATGGCCCAGGAGGAACTCTTTATCAACCCCCTTTCTGTGTCCTGAGTCACTTTTACCTGAGCCTTGCAGCATGCCCCCATTTTACTGATGGGAAAACTGAGGCTCAGGGAGAAGAGTCTCGCAAGGTCACATAGCTCATCAGGGCAAAGCCAGTGCCAGAACTCCAGTTGTCTGACTTCTGGTTCAGCGTGTCACCATTATATTCTAACGTATAGCCTAGAAATGATAAACTTCTGAGTAAACATAAATCATTTAAAATACAAATTCTTGGCCCTGGCTGGTATAGCTCAGTGGACTGAGTACGGGCCTGTGAACCAGGCAATCGAGGTTTGATTCCCAGTCAGGGCACAAACCGGGGTTGCAGGCCAGTTCCCTGCAGGCCAGTTCCCAGCAGGGGACGCATGAAAGGCAACCATACATTGATGTTTCTCTCCCTCTCTCCTTCCCTTCCCCTCTAAAGATAAATAAATAAAGTTTTAAAAAATAAAATAAAATAAAAATTCTTTAGGTTATTCTTTTTGTTATTTTTTTTAAAAAATATTTTATTTGTGTATTATTAGAGAGAGGGGAAGGGAGGGAGAAAGAGAGGAAGAGAAACGTCAAAGTGTGGTTGCCTCTCACACACCCCCTACTGGGGACCTGGCCTGCAACCCAGGCATGTGACCTGACTAGGAATTGAACTGGTGACCCGTTGATTAGCAGGCCAGCACTCAACCCACTGAGCCACACCAGCCAGGATATTTTTGTTATTTTTAATTGAACTTACAGGCATGACACCGGTTAATAAAATTATATAGATCTCAGGGATATAATTTTATAATACATCATTGGTATATAGTATTGTGTGTTCACCACCCCAAGTCAAGTCTCCTTTCATCACTATTTATGCTCACTTTTCTATCTCCTCCCACCCCTGTAGTTTTTTTTCTTAATACAAAGGCTGTTTCTGTTCATATTTATAGAACAATTTGGAAAATAGAAACATGTACGAATTATAAATGGAAATCAGATACAGTCTCAATTTTGATAATATTTATGTTCCATTAGGAATGTGGATATATTACATACGCTGTTGGGTGTTGTCCGACTGCCAGGTATGAGGACAACTTCTTCCTGGCACAAAGCAAGACGGATATTTGCAGAAGAGGAGCTCTAGCCAGGCCAAGTGGAAGGAGCAAAATCAGTTGCTCCAGAGATGCACAGAACTGAGGGGCAAGGCCAGCACCCCAACAGGATAGGGATCTGGGAAGGGTTGAGGCTGGGAACTGGGAACTCAACCCACTGCCTGGGAAGCCTTATCCATTCTCCTGCCAGTATATTGAGGACTTCTTTCCTTTTTTCTCTTTCATATAGTTTTAAAAGGCAGCATTATAGCCCGGAGTTTGGATAAGCCATACTTTTTTTGGCCAATACTTTAAAGCAGACTCTGGGTTTTTCTGCTGTTAGACACGATGGTGATGAATGTCATTCACCAGGCAACATTATCCCGTGTCAGATCATTGCCTTGGGCTCCATTCCCAGAAGCTGAATTGATAATAATAGCAGTTCAAGGACACTGCTGAACCAGGGTCCGGATGTGGAGCTAGTGGTGTGCAGACTCGCAGTAGCTGGAAAAACACTGAGGGGGTTTCCTGGGAGACTTGGGAAGGTAGGCCCAGGGTTTCTAGGTCAGCGGTTAAAGCAGAGGCTGTCCCTCTCCTCCTCCCCTCTCCTCCCAACCCCTCCTTCCCCTCTCTTTCTTCTGGGAAGGAGCAAGGTGAGAGGGAAGGGAGGGGCAGGGGGAAGGAGGAGGGGGAGGAAGGGAGGGGGAGAGAGAGGGGGAGAAAGAGGGAGATAGAGAGAGAGAGATAGAGAGAGAGAAAAACTGAACTAACACCTGTATATATTTCTAGTATTTTGCCTTGAAGAGTATCTAGCATTAACTTTCCTATGCAAAAGGCACACACACACAAAGGCAGGTGCAAGTGAGAAGTGGAATTTTTGTGTATTTTAAAAGAGACTGGTTGCAAAGTGTTTTGGGAAGTATGTCTTGAAGATAAAAAAGGGACTTTGTGGAAATTAACTTTACTGATCATAGATTCCTAACTGGGCAGGTCTGGGGGTAGTCAGGCCCCAGGTATTTAACTTCTTTAGTAAAAGGTTTGTCTTTGCCGCAAGCCACCCCTGCCCATTGTTTCTGTGTATCCAGGTTAATAACACACCTTTGAAATGCCTCTTTCAGACCCTTCCTTCTAAAGCGAACCAACCTGGAGAGAGCACCTAATGTCAACTCTCCCGTAGTCCACTTCCCACCTTGCCTTCTCTCACCTCCTTGTAATCTTCCCTTCTTCCCTCCTGAATTCCAAATGCATGAAGGTAGCTGCAAAACTGTCATTCTCTGGTCTCCAGCACATTTGAGATCTTGCTTCCTGGCAATTCCTCAGTTTTGGCTCAAATAAACTCTTAATAAAATTCTCTGCAAGTTTGGACATTTCTTTTTTTTTTTTTAATCCTCACCGGAAGATATATCTATATCTATATACTTTTTAAATTTTTATTTATTTATCTTCAGAAGGGAAGGGAAGGAAAGAAATATCAGTGTATGGTTGCTTCTGTACCCCCTGCTGGGAACTGGCCCCTGCTGGGAACTGGCCTGCAACCCAGGCATGTGCCCCGATGGGGAATCGAATCGCGATCTTTTGGTTCCCAGGCCCGTGCTCAACCCACTGAGCTACACCAGCCAGGGCTACATCTATATTTTATTACTGATGGGAGAGAGAGAGAGAGAGAGGTTGATGGGTTGCCTCCCCTACGTGCCCTGACGGGGATTGAACCCGCAGACTTTTGGTGCATGAGAGGGCGCTCCAACCAACTGAGTCACCCAACCAGTGTTGGATGTTTCTTATGTCAACAGCCTGTACCTGGGTCGGTGTTGTTTTAATAGAGAAGTGCTTTGTCAGGCCTGTGACTTTTGGAGGCAGATGGCCACTCCTAAAATTTCAGTCCTAGAGCCTAGGATCGACTGGCCTGTGTCTGACCTGCCTAATGAGCCACATGAAGTCATTCCAGATCAGGGCCACACCGGTGGTGACAGGAAGGTGCCCTGTTTCTGAGCTGCGCACTGGGTGAGCGGGTGCTGAGGGTGTGAACGCTCAGGAAGAATGGGCGTGGGAGGAGCTGGGGATGGAGGGCTTGACGGCCCATGGAAGGAGAGTGGGCACGGGCTGGGACTGGAGGCCATGCTGTGGAATGTCAGCCGCCGGGGGGCTAGTAAGAGGAGGATAAACTGTCACTTATACAAAGGCTTAGGCTCCTTCTAACCCTTCAGCAACCCTGTGACACAGGCACTGTATTCATCTCCATTTTATAAAAGACGAAACTGGGACTCAGAGGGGGTGAGAGGCAGCAAGAATGTGTTGGAAACAGAATCCACTGCCAGGGCCGTCTGCTCTGCACTCTCACTCACGGAGTGGTTACAGCTGAGCCTAGGCCCATCCCCCATCCCAGCCCCGCCCCCGCTCCCCCCCCCGCCCCCCCTCCCCGATTGCACAGGGTTTATGCAGCTCTCCTGGAATTCTTACACAGCAACCCTTCTCCTTTCCTCCAGGGAGAAGTTTGGCAACATGGAGTCGGTTTTTATCATCGACCCTGAAGATGTGGCCCTTCTTTTTAAGTGTGAGGGCTCCACCCCAGAACGATATTGCATCCCTCCCTGGGTTGCCTATCACCAGCATTACCAGAGACCCATCGGAGTCCTGTTCAAGTGAGTCCTGGGACACCTCCCAGGGGCTGGAGGGAGATCATGGGCGGCTGTGGCAAGGGCAGAAGTGGGGGAGCGGGGCTGGGCCACGCGTGCGCTGTCCTTTCTAGCTGGGGCCTCCAGGCAAATCCTCGTTACCTTCCTGCCTCCATAAAACAAGTGGTAGTGATGGTGAACTGCTGTGCCCGCCGAAGATCTGAATGCATAATGAAAGACCTTGCAAAGTTCTCATTTATTGTTCATTCATTAAAGTCCCATCTTATTGAGCACCTACTATTCGCCAGACCTGTGCCAGGCCCCTCAGTGACACGTAGGGCAGGGCCCCGCTGTCATGAGCGCTGTTTCCCACGATGCTGTTCCTCACGGATTCTGGTGAGGATTCGGAGCAACTAGGACTCCCACAGATTGCTGGTGGGGTGAGAACTGGTGCCAGCACCTTGGAAAACAGTCGGACGCAACCTGAACTTGACTGCGCACGATCCTGTGACGCAGCAGTTCCGCTCCCTGGGACACGCTGTAAGAGCAGCCTGAAGGGAAGGTGCCGGGACGCTGGCAGCAGCGCCATCCACAAAGCGCAAAACCCAGGCAACCACCTAAAAATGCCCAAGAGGAGCACAAACGAGTGAGTGGTGGCATGTGCCACTCAAAGTGAACAACCTCAGTGACCCCCTCCCCCACACACAGTACAGAGGTTACTGAGAGAGAGAAAATTGAGTGAAAAAAAGGCATGACGGCTTTTTAAAGAAGTTATTTTAAGAAAGTATATTTTAGAAATATATGGAGATCAGGTAGAATTATACACAAAAGCAGGCAAGACTGTCAGATGGGTGGTCCCCTCAGTTGGGGAGGACCAGGTGGACACATGTAAATTACTGTAACGTTCCTAGTTGTCCTATTGGATGGTGAGTTTATGATTTCATTCTTTTTTAAAATTCTTTTTTTCTTTTTGTTCTTTCTATAATACCATTCTTACAAACAAACAAAGCCTCCAAACTAGAGAGGGCTTTGTATGGATCTGTCTTCAAGAGTGGGCCATAAGCTGAAGTTTATCATTAACCCAGTTCTGGACACCTGAGGTCCCCACCGATGTCCATAATGGGACATGCTAAGGGGTGCAGCGGAGAGGTGGGTCAGCTGTGTCCGTGTGGTGATCAGAGGAGATGACATACAGGGGCCCTTGAAGGTCAGGAGGTGAGCGACAGCCAGGAGGAAGTGGAGGTGGCGGGGAAGGCACACACCTACAGCCAAGGCAAAGACCAGGGGGCTTGAAAGAGACTTAGTTCCTGGCTCGCAGCAGCAATAGGGGGCAGTCAGGTTTGTCCTCCTTCATCCGGTTTCTTCCCGTCTCTTCCCCTGAGCCCAGCAGAAGAGATGAGCTGGTGGGAGGTCAGAGGGTACTGGGAGGAGGTCAGGGCGGGTGCACGTGAGCGCTGAGCTCTGAGCTGTGGCTTGGCCTCCTGGGAGAGCCCAGCCAGTCCCTCTGTGTGTGCCAAGCCTGGGGTTTGTGACCATGAGGGCCCAAGGGCCTGTGTTTCCACAGGAAGTCAGGAGCCTGGAAGAAAGACCGCCTGGCCCTGAACCAGGAGGTGATGACTCCAGATGCCGTGAAGAACTTCATCCCCCTGCTGGACACAGTATCCCAGGACTTCGTCAGTGTCCTGCACAGACGCATCAAGCAGGGTTCTGGAAAGTTCTCAGGCGACATCAGTGATGACCTGTTTCGCTTTGCCTTTGAGTGTAAGGGGCTTGTGCCTGCTTGGCCGCTGTCTTGGGGTTGGGAGAACCCTGCACGCCACCTTAAGACCCAGCCAGCATAGGAAGTGTTAGGATTGGCCTTTGGGATGAGCTAGTAGTGAACGTATCCTCTGTCATCCGTTCCCCAGCTGGAGCTGAGCACTCTTATCTAGCATCCGTGCCGTGCGGGCAAGGATCTCCAAAATGTAGGTCCCCATTGCCACCCTCAGCCCTCCATTCTGCAAATTCTATCTCCTAAAACAGAATTTTGAGGTCTTGGAGGGGAGGGGAGGGCTGGGTGGTTAATATGAATTGGGTACGTAAGGAGCTATGGAAGCTATCCAGACAAGGTAAGGATGTCGGGCAGTCCAGGGAGAGGGAACAGCTAATGCAAAGGCCTGGTGGCATGATGGGGGGGACCATTTGCTCACTGAAGGGGTTTTGGGGTTCCCAGAGTTTGGAGTAAATTCAGCGTTCCAATTTCTGACCTCATAGGTGGGAAAAACTTGGGGCTGTGGCTTCTCCAGTACAGCCAGAGTGGGTCCCGGACCGCCAATTGCCAGGGTTTTATGTCTTCTAGTCTCCTATCCAGGCTGTTTCAGGAAGCGTTTGGCTAATGCAGTCAATTATAAGAGAAATATCTCTTCCCAGGAGCAAAGCCCGGAGCCTGCTTGGGGTGCTGGTGGTGGGGTGGGTGAAGTAGTTTCATCCCAACCTGGGACCACTCTGTTGGAGACTGCTTCCCACCCAAATGATCCCTTTTCGGGCTCTTCTCTTTGCCCCTCCAAAGGACGTGAGTGGTTGCCAGAAGGGCAGTTTTCCTCAGCCCTGAAATTTCAGCCTCATAAACCTTGGGCCTCTGTTTCTTACCTGAAGGAGACGAGGTTGGGGGCAGGAGATTCCATGTGTTGGCAGGTTCCTGGGAGCTGAGGACCTCAGGTGGCCAGGTTGGAAAATGTCCCTCAGCTGTCACCTATCCCTGCAGCCATCACCAACGTCATCTTTGGGGAGCGTTTGGGGCTGTTGGAGGAGATCGTGGACCCTGAGGCCCAGCAGTTCATTGATGCCGTTTACCAGATGTTCCACACCAGTGTCCCCATGCTCATGCTCCCCCCAGACCTGTTCCGCCTGCTCAGGACCAAGACATGGCGGGACCATGTGGCCGCCTGGGATGTGATTTTCAGTAAAGGTGAGGGTTCCTCTGGCTGGATCCTGCGCAGCTCAGTCTGGGGGCCTGGAGAGCCTTGTCTGCCTCAGAGGGTGGGAAACCCAGGCCCTGATGGGGGCACGGACACACACACACACACACACACACACACACACACACACACGGCTGGAAGCCCCAAGCATCTGCTTGCCTCTTTGTCCCAAGTTATGCCAATGGGCACTGACTTGCCATGTAGGAAGCCCATCTTCTGGTGGGCGGTGATGGGCCTCAGGGAGGTCCTAGAAACCCTGGAACTGGTGGGCTGAAGGCCAGCCATTGGGGAAGGTTAGGTTTTTATGGAGAAGGAAGATCAAAGATGTCTATCCTATTCTTCCAAGGAGCCCATGATCCCCAACCTGGGTTATGGACCAGTGGTTTAGACCCAGCTGTGCTTGGTGGCAGACTGGGACTTGGGTGAGAGGGATTAGTAAAGCAGGGTGGAGAAAGCTGATTCGAGTATGGCGACCAAGCCAGACCTGGAGTCAAATCCCACTCTGCTCCTGGTGCCCGTCCGACCTTGGGCAAGTCACTACTCTCTGTGGGCCTCTGTTTCCTTACTTGTAAAATGGGGATGATATCACTTACTCCGTCAAACTGGTCAAGAATTAGACAGAGAAACAGATAGGAAGGACTTAGGAGATAGTATGTGCTTAGTAAAATGGCAGCCTAGAAAGCACCGGGCTCCAGAATCCTCAAGCCCTTGGTGCCACCTCTAACCAAGGGTCTCTTCCTTCCCTCCGGGCACAGAGAGCCTCACTCTTTACCCCCCCCCTCTGTCCCCAGCTGAGAAATATACCCAGAACTTCTACATGGACCTGAGACAGAAAAGAGACTTCGACAATTACCCAGGAATCCTCTACAGCCTCCTGGGAAATAACAGGCTGCTCTTTGAGGACGTCAAGGCCAACATTACGGAGATGTTGGCGGGAGGCGTGGACACGGTGAGGTGACTGCAGGGACACACTCTGTCCTTTCCTGTGCCCCCGTGTCCCTTCCCCATGAGTTTGTCTGCCCGTGTCAGGAAGATCTCCCTGTCCTGATACCATTTCCTAAATACTCATCTCCCGGGAGACTGAGGTCCAGTCAGTCGCCTATGGAGCATCACTTGAGGTTGATGATCCAACAATTTTTCTTTTTTAAAATGTTTATTTATTTATTATTTTTAAAGTATATTTTACTGATTATGCTATAACAGTCTTCCCAATTTCCCCCCTTTATCCCTCCTCTGCTCTGAATCCCCATCCCTCCAGCATCCCCTTCTTAGTTCATGTCCATGGGTCATACACATAAGTTCTTTGAATTCTCTGTTTCCTCTACTGTTTTTGACCTCTCCCCATCTATTTTATGCCTACCAATTATGCTTCTTGTTCACTGTCCCTTCCCTCTTATTCTTCCCCTCCCCCTCCCCACTGAAAGCCCTCTAAATGATGTCTATTTCTCTGATTCTGTTCCTGTTCTAGTTGTCTGCTTAGTTTTTGTTTTTGTTGTGGTTTTTTAGGTTCACTTGCTGAGAGTTGTGAATTTGTTGTCATTTTAGTGTTCATAGTTTTTTATCTTCATCAATTTCTTAGATAAGTCCCTTTAACATTTCATATAATAATGAGTTGGTGATGATGAACTCCTTTAACTTGACCTTCTCTGGGAAGCACTTTATCTGCCCTTCCATTCTAAATGAAAGTTTTGCTGGATAGAGTAATCTTGGATGTGGGCCCTTTCCTTTCATGACTTGGAATACTTCTTTCCAGCTCCTTCTTGTCTGCAAGGTTTCTTTTGAGAAATCAGCTGATAGCCTTATGGGAACTCCTTTGTAGGTAACTGTCTCCTTTCCTCTTACTTCTTTTAGGATTCTCTTTTTATCTCTAATCTTGGGTAACTTAATGATGATGTGCCTTGCTGTGTTCCTCTTTGGATATAACTTCTTTGGGACTCTCTGGGCTTCCTAGACTTCCTGGAAATCTATTTTTTTTTTTTTTGCCAGATTGGGGAAGTTTTCCTTCATTATTTGTGCAAATAAGTTTTCAATTTCTTGCTTTGTTCCTCTTCTTCTGGAACCCCTATAATTCAGATATTGGAACATTTAAAGTTGTCCCAGAGGTTCCTAAGCCTCTCTTTAGTTTTAAAAAAAATTCTTGTTTCTTCATTCTGTTCCAGTTGGATGTTTACTTCTTCCTTTTGTTCCAAATTGTTGATTTGAGTCCTGGTTTCCTTCCTGTTACTGTTGGTTCCCTGTATATTTTGCTTTATTTCACTTTGGGCATCCTTCACTTGTTCTTTCATTTTGTGACTGAGCTCAGTCAGTTCTGTGAGCATCTTGATTACCAGGGCTTTAAACTCTCCATCAGATAGGTTGGCTATCTCCTTATTGCCTAGTTCTCTTTCTGGAATTTTGTTCTGTTCTTTCATTTGGGCCCTATTTCTTTGTCACATTGCACCTGTTACGAGGTAAGGGGTGGAGCCTTAAGTATTCAGCAAGGTGAGGCAACCCTCTTTGCTGCATTGTGGAGCTGTTTGCAGGTGAGGGGCCAGAGAGGGAGCAATGCAGTTCACCTGCTGGGCTCAAGCACACTTCCCAAGCAACGGAACTGGAACCCTCATGTGAGACTGGGAGTTTCTCCCACCAGGGCAACCTGTACTGTAGTCCACAGCCAGCTCTGAGTCTCAGTGTCTGTTCAGCCAGCCCCGCCCACGCGGTCCGCTATCTGGTTGCGGCTCTCTCCATCCACCCATCTTACCAGTCTGGTTGGTCTCATTGACTGTTTAATTCCTTGGTTGTCAGAGTCCATGCAGTTTGATTTTCTGGCATTTCTGGTTTATTGATTTTAGATTGATTATGATCCTCCTTTTGGTTTTGCAAGGAGGCGAAGAGTTTCTACCTATACCTCCACCTTGGCCGGAACTCTCCAACAATTTTTCCTCACCTATGAGAAGGGAGTAAGGAGACATAGGTGGCAAGCCCAGGTCCTGCATGGAGTCTTTAAAGGGGAAGTCCTTCAGTCACGTGTGGGGGACGCAGCTCACTGGTTTCAGGCAGGCAGGCAGAACCTCAGAAAAGCTGGCAGCCGGTGGAATTTGCCCTGGCTCTGCCTTCTAGGGTCTTCTGGTTGTTTTCCATCCTCCCCCACATTGTGGTGTCTCCCTTGGGCCCTCCCACGAGCAGCCCAACACCCCACGATGTTCTCTTCTTGAACTCAAAACCTGTCTTCCTGTGTACCATTTTTTTCTCCAGTATCTTAACCCTTCTCATGCTACTGTGATATGGAGGGTTGACTACTTAGTGTTTATTGGTTATTAGTTGTGATTCAGGTAGTGAGACCATAAAAATGAACACGATAGACCCCAATTGTTTCCAATGGCTCAGAGAGGAGGAGGTTCGTTTGCTAGAGCTGCCATACAACGTCCCTACACAGAATGGCTTAAACGACAGACATTTACATTCCTCACAGTTCTGGGGCTAGAAGTCAGGCCAAGGTGGCAGCGGGGTTGGCTTCTTCAGAGACTCCTCTTCTCCCTGGGTCTGCACACAGTCACCTCTCTGTGTGTCTGCGTCCTGATCGCCTCTTCTTACAAGGACACCTGTTAGAGTGGGGCCATCCCACGGACCTCATTTTACCTTATTACCTCTTCAACACTTTGTCTCCAAATATAGTCGCACTGTGAGATATCTGGGGTGAGGACTTCAACATGTGGATTTGGGGGAGCCCAATTCAGCCTCTGACAAAGAAGAGAGCATGCGCACAGACGACCGCCACACTTTGTTACAGGGCGGGATGAGCAGGCCCGGACTGGGCAGTGATAATGCTGAGGAGAGGGACGGGGGAGTGCTCCATAGAGAAGCTCAAATTCAGCTTCTGTCTTCAAGGCTGCTGCCGGGGGGAGAGGGGAGGAACAGCATTTCAGGACTAGGGAGAAGTATGTGTCAAAGTCCCTTGGGTGAGTAACTTTATTTTCTAGGTGTCTTATTTATACTGTGCTCTAGTGGAGGACTTTCAGTCCCTGTGGCAGGCTGCAGATGGAACATTCGAGTGTATCTTAAACCTAGCTCTTGTCAGTTATGTAGAAGGGACCTCCACAAAATGCTTGCCTGCGCTGAACCAGCTGTCATTGTTAGGTAACGTTTATTGAGCATGCATTATATGTAGGTAGGGCCTAAGCTTTTCACATGTACTGATTCATTTGGTGTTCACAAAACTATGAGCAATATTACTACTATCCCCATTTTTCAGGTGAGGAAACTGGGGCGCAGAGAGGTTAAGTAACTTAGTTAAAGTCACACAACTAGTAACTTAGTTGACTACCTAAATAAACAAGTATTTCCTGGGTAGCCACTCTGTCCAGTCTTGGAAATAGTGAGGACAAATGCACAGATTTGGTTGGAGCCTTGAAGGAGTACAGACTGGCTTCCTAGGCTGGGAATTCTGGGAGGACAAAACAGCCAGAGAAAAATTTCTGGGCTTCAGGGGCTGTGTGTAGCTCAGTACAGCTTGAGTAGAGAGTGCATATTGGAGAGAGCTGGTGGCAAGGCTGGGAGCAGTGGGCAGGTGTTGGGGGACCCTGTACATTAGGTCAGAGCTTCAGGACTTGACCTGTGGAATCTGGGGGGCGGGACCAGGCAAGGATTTCAAACTGGGAAGTGGCTGGATGGCACACTTCTGTGATTCCTCCTACTGGAAGAAGGAGAGTCTTCAAACCTCTCAGACAAAAGTGTGATTCTTGGTAAGATATTTGCAACAACACATGTTCAAACCCTAGGAAGGAGGGCTGCACCAGCCTGAGGCCCTGCCACAGAGGTATGTGGGACCATGAGGCTTGGTGAGGCTCACTCAAACCTCCAGGGAAGGGCTAATATGCTGCTGCTAGTACTGAGATTAGCTGGTCTGTCTCAGTATATACCACATGCTAATTGCAACATGGACAGGAACCAGGGCAGTGGTCCTGATTTAATTATCTGAGCCTTCTTCCCCACCTGGCTGCTATAGGCAAATGTGAAGGTTTGGGGATGTTCTACTGGGGAGAGGGCTGCTCGTTTAACTGGCATTTCAAAAGGCATGAGAGCCAGTCAGCGGACAGCTGTTACAGAAGGGAGCTGGGGCCTCCTGAGGCTTCTGAGGTCCTCTGGAGAAACCATTGTCTGGGTGCGTGCCCTGTGCTGGTGGGGAACTGGTAGCCTCTGGTGACATGAGAAGCCAGGGTAGGGACAGGTGCTGCCCCAAACGTTTCTGCCTGGGCTAGAGAGAGAGAGCCTTCTGGGACATTTGTCTTTAGAACTAACTTTGCTTTTGTAGGTGATGGTCTCTAGATGCTGGGATGAGGGTGGGGAGAGGTTCTTGGAAATGAAGCATCAGGAATAACAGGCCTTCCTGGTCTTCTTCACCCCACACCCCTTGCCAGACATCCATGACACTGCAGTGGCACCTGTATGAGATGGCACGCAGCCTGAGAGTGCAGAAGATGCTGCGGGAGGAGGTTCTGGCTGCCCGGCACCAGGCCGGGGAGGACACGAGCAGGATGCTGCAGCTGGTCCCGCTTCTAAAAGCTAGCATCAAGGAGACACTGAGGCAAGCCCACACCCACTCATGCCTGCCCCAATCCCCAACCCTGGGCAGGGCTAGTGTGGTGCCTGGGAACAGGGTTATAAAAATGGACTGGTGGAGATTGGTAGCAGGAAATGAGAAGTTTGGGAGAAACAGCTGGGAATGGGGAGGAAAGACTAGAGTCCTGGCCCTGCCTCCAGATTCCGCTGGGGGGCTGCCACTGGGCCTGAGATGCCATGCTGGGTGGGAGGCTTTTTCCTGGCCTCCGGGCATTAGCTTCTGAACGTCTTTCTCTGGCAGACTCCACCCCATCTCCGTGACCCTGCAGAGATATCTTGCAAATGACTTGGTCCTTCGAGATTACATGATTCCTGCCAAGGTAGGTACAGCAGGGCTGCAGGCCCTGTCAGTCAGACGGGAGGCTGGGCTGACTGCAGTTGCATTCAGACAGATTCTGCCTGTCTTCCTGGAGCTGGCCAGTGGGTCCTTGGCAGCAGCAAAGTGTGAAGGGCAGAGGTGGTAGGCAGAGCTCCACAATGTTGCTGGAGCTCAGGGTTAGGAGGGCAACTCCACGGGTTACAAGGGTCTTAGGGGCCCTCTGATGCTGAGAAAAGGGCAGGAAAATCCCTTGGGCCATCCCTGGCCTAGTGGCTTCAGTCTTGGGCAAGGCTCAGGAAGGAGTGGGGTTTTGTTCAAGGTCACACATTGGGCAGTGTCTGCTGGACAGCTGGGCAGCGAGGCGGGGGAATGGGAGTGGGGAAGACTGGATTCGCTCCTGGCTATGAGGAGGGGAGGCCTACTGAGGCTTCTGCTCGCCTTGTCTTCAGACATTGGTGCAGGTGGCTGTCTATGCCATGGGCCAAGACCCCACCTTCTTCCTCAATCCGGACAAATTTGACCCCACCCGTTGGCTGGGGCAAAACAAGGACCTCATCCACTTCCGGCACCTGGGCTTTGGCTGGGGTATTCGGCAGTGTGTGGGCCGACGGATCGCCGAGCTCGAGATGACCCTCTTCCTCATCCGTGTGAGTCTAGCCTGGGGACCTCCGGGCACCCTGGGCTGGCTTCGGCCCTCATGAAAGCACCAACCCGCCAGCCCAGGTTGAGTAGCTCAGTTGGTTAGAGTGTTGTCCCGATACACCAAGGTTTCGGGTTTGATCAGGGCACATACAAGAAGCAACCAATGAGTGCATGAATGGGTGGAGCAACAAATTGATGTCTTTCTCTGTCTCTCTCTAAAAAAAATCAATATGGAAAAAAAGGCACCACCCCTCCTACTCCCATCTCTGTCCAGATCCCTCCCCCACAATTCCTTGCTGCCTCCTCTTTTGGACCAATGCACTTATTATCCATTGGTGTCCCCCCCATCTGTCCCCCCAAAGTGGTGATGAGATGGGGGTGGGGTGGGATAAGGTTTTGTAGAAACGAAAGTGAAAGCCTGAGGCGAGGAGGCGGCGCTAGTGGTGTGTTTCCAGGCACTGAGCAGGGTTAGGCAGGAGCTGGAGTGAGTCCTACGTACCAGGCACTGCCTACAGGCGAATGAACCTGGCCTAGGGGAGATGGAGCCTCCTGACCTGTCCCCTAAGCCCACCCCTCTTTCTCAGATTCTGGAGAATTTCAGAGTTGAAATCCAACATCTCAGCGACGTGGGCACAACATTCAACCTCATCCTGATGCCTGACCAGCCCATCTTCTTTACCTTCCGGCCCTTAACCCAGGACCTGCCCCAGGTGTGACCACGGAGAATGGTGTGGAAGGAAGGCCCGGGCTTGGGCCGGGCCCATGGAGGTGTCTGCATCCTCGGCCCCCGTTCCCCCACTTCTCCTCCTTTCTGCCTCAGCTCAGTGGAGGCACTCCGCTTTTCCCCACCTCTTTCCCCTCTTCTTCCACCCCGTGAAGGCAATAAAGGGCTGAACTATGTGAAGTGTTTTCATTTCCACCTGGCCCCGAAGGTACCCATCACCCCTGTGGAGATGCTCTCTGACCTGGGTCAACAGCTGGATTTGTGCACCAATGGGGTACCTGAGGCAGCCACACCTGAAACTACTGCTGCTGGGATCGACCCACCTACAGTAGTAGCTCAGGAGCCAGTAGGATCAAGCCTCCTGCTGCCTGGAGATGAGGATGAGGCAGAGCAGATGGGGGCTCCTGCTACTGTGCTGGGGCCAGCAGGTAGAGGGACAGAGGACCTGGTGGAGCTCTGCTGAGAGAACAGGGCAGCATGAGGGGTGTGGGTCAGTCTTGGGTTCTGGGGAAGGCCCACCTATCAGAGTTGAGCCTCATGTAGTGCTTTGCTTGGCTGAACTTTGGGTAGGAAGGAGTTCCAGGTGAGGTCATGAGGACTTCCTGCCAAGGTCTAGCCAGAGTCTTAGACATGGTCAGGGCCCAGCCTATAGATGAGAGGCTGGTGTGAGCTGGCTGACCCTGGGCACAGAAGGCCAATATGCTTCCTCTGGCCCACCTTACCCTTCTCTGAGCTTCCTCACGGCCTCAACATCATTCTCTGGGGGGTCATGCCCACTTGTCCAAGCTCTGGGCAGAAGGCACAGAGACTGTAGCAGAGTCTTTGGTCCATATTTGAATTGCCTGACACTGGTCTCAATTTTGGCCCCCTTGCCCCTTCTGAGTTCCATAACTCCTGACCTGAACCAGGTGCCTGACCCTTCCTGGCCCTCAGCTACATGAGTCTAAGTCTTGCCAGCAGACAGAGCAGCTAGTCTTGCTCAGGACAGCAGCCCAGCTAGCTTGAAGTCTTCTGCCAGGATCTGCAGGTTCTGAGTCCACTGTTGGAGCCTTTCTGCTTTTGCCCATCACGATCCTCTTCCTTGTCTTTCTCCACCCTTCCTGCTTCCTTTCTCTCCTCAGAGTCACCTTTGACTCAGAAATATTAGAGCTGGAAAGGGCCTTACCATCAGAGAGGTTGAGCTCTGCATGGGATAGAGGGGGAACTGAAGCCTAGAGGGGTGGCTTGAGTCACCCAAGGTCACACAGCATGCTTGCAGCTAGAACCCAGGCCTTCTCTCTGTGGCAGACCCCTTCCCTTCAGTGCCACCTGCTTCCCTGTCCCTGGCTGCATTGACTAAAATATGGCAGGTTCAGCCTGGCCCTGGTTAATGGGCTGTTTCACACTAACATGTAATGATTGCCACAGGCAGGCTTCAAGTTTTTCCCTTCCCAAGAGACAGATAAACCAAACTTCAAAGAAGGGATTTTAGTTGAGGTAGATGTTTGGGGGCAGGTAGAAAGTCCCAGCCTCCCTCACATATCCCAAAAGAGTTGGGCTCTAGTGATCTCACTTCTTCCGGAGGTCTAGAGGAAGCCTGTCTCCCAGGCTCCCGCTTTGGAAGGACTTTTGTCCCTGCCCTCCTTGGTCCATTGTGGCCTTTGGCTCTCCAAAGATGGCAGCTCCCAGGATAGGCAGGAGGCTATTCTACTGCAGCAGAGGGCCCAGGGGTAAGATGGGGTCTGGGAGGAGGAAGCTGGGCCTGAGTGGCCACTCGGGCCGCCCTGATCCTGGGGAGAGGCAAATGTTCTCTGACTTACATTTAATGAAGTCATTTTTAGGGGGTAGGGACAAGATGCCCCAGCACACAGTGAAGGTACTGCTCCAGTACTCAGGTCAGCTGAAACTCAGGTCTGCTGGGAGTCTGAGGGCTTGATGAACTTGGCCTCTGAGCTGGGCATCAAGGGGTCCAGTTCTGAAGGTTCCCTGTAGTCTTTGGCGTCGTTTGAGGGATTCTGTGTTGTGCAAAGCAGAGTGAGGTGAGTTTGCCCTTCTCCCCCCCACTCCCCCATCCGGGGGTTGGGGGTGGGCATCCAAATACAACTTGCCTAGCAAGCCATGTCTTAGAGGGCCATGACTTCCCAAAGATTTCCAAGCCCATTTAACCACAGCAGGTCATATTCAATTTCTCCAAGAGTCTCTGGGGCCCAGCAAGTGAATTTGCAAAGGAATCCCTATGTTTCCTGTCAGTTCCCCTGTATTTAAAGGCCTCGCTGGTAGCCTGGAAGTGAGCTGAGTGCTAATGGCTCAAGAGCAGGAGCAATCAGGGGCTTTGTGTTGGGGGCTGGATGGCCCGGGCTCAGCTGAAGGGACAGTTGTGAGCAGGTCTGTTTGTTTTGGGGAAGCTGGCAATGCTTCTCTCTGGCAACATACTCCCAATTTCTAGCAGGTCTGCAGAGTTTCAGTTGCCCAACATGGGTGTGCTTATGGGACAATATTAGGCATGATGGAGTTGGGTGGTGGCCGCAGCTACGTTGTTTATGAGCAAATCCAGTCCTAAGGCACAACCAGAGCATTCGAGAAGTGCCCGAGTGGGCAGCACTTCATCCACAACCACCTCCTTTTTTATTCTCACCACCATTGTGGGGAGGAGGTAGTTCTGGCAGGGTTTTCTAGTCCCCTTAGAGAGGTAAGGGGTTGAGAAAAGGCAAGGACTTCTGTTGGTAATAGAGTAGAAGCTGAGATTTGTCCTCTGAATTGCAGCCGGGGAGCTGGCCCCCTGGACAGTTTTTCTCAAGGCCAGAGACTCAGAGTGGGGGTTGCCCGAATCCCAGGGAGAAATTCCAGAGGGATCACTCACTGGCTGGTCTGTGATGTTGGAGTCTGAGGGGTGACCCAGGCCGTGCTCCTGCTCCTGCAGCTGTGTGGTCAATTTCTGCTTCTCTCGTCCCCAGCGTCGAGCTGAGTCCTCTAACTGCCACCAAGGAGAGGGACAGGTGGGTAACCTCTAGTTAACAGGGCCCACCTCTGAGATCTGAAACCAGAGCTACTTTTTGGGCAGAAAGCAAAACCCTGGGCAACGTGAACTTCCCACGAGACCCCAGGGTGGCACAGTTCAGTGAAGAGGGGCCAAGTGACAGTCTGATTAAGACTCAGACGGATCTTCCCTGAGTCCCAACACACTGAGCCCCAGCCCCGCTCAGAGTGATCCCTGGCCCTGCTCACACTGAGCCCCAATTCTGTTCATGGTGAGCCCTGACCCTGCTCATACACCAAGAGTTAACCCTGTTCATGGACCAAGTGGTGAGGTTGTCCAGTCTGACCAACTGCTTTGCCTCAGCTACCTGTCTTTCCAGGAACAGGATCCGGCTCTGAGCTCGTTCCAGCTTGGCCAGGAGGTTAAACTTGTCTGAAGTGTCGTCCAGGTGATCCTGCAAGCAAAGTAGAAACTCACGCATGGCCAAGCTGGGGGTTAGGGCCCTGTGAGCTCAGGAGGCCAGGAGATGCTGAGCGAGGAACCAGCCGGGTCTGAGTTCTGAACTTAGCTCTCCTGTGCAGAGCTCAGACCCAGGGCTGCAGCCTCTTCCTGAAGGTCAGACTTGGCATGGCCTGTGCTTTTTTCCCACAGCTGTTCTCCACACAGATTTTGGGCACATGGTTTTTGCACATCAGTTTTTAAATGTGAAATGCACAAGGGAGTACTCATTGGTGCAGGAAGTGACCCTCTTTGTGAAGCAAGGGCTCCCCCGCTGCTGTACCTGGATATCCACGCATTAGCTGCGCTTTCAAACACAACTCACCTCCTGTGAGTCCTGGGATGAAGAGAAAAACTCTCCCGTGCCCTGGGCCACTTCCCTTCTGTAATTCAAATGTCCTGTCTTGGGTTTGCATAGAGCAGGGTGCCTGTAGTGGCCTCAGAAGTGCAGTGGGGCCCGGGCATGTCTGGAGCCTGGGAACCCATCTGTGTTGGCAGGGTCTTTGTGCCTTTGGAGTGGCCTGGGCCATCGTCTCTTGCAGCCTCTCTGCCAGGTCCCCTGCTCCCAACTCCCTGGGGTCCATCAGGGAAGGTGGAAAAGGGCTCTCTAAGGCTGTACCAACCTCCAGAAATGCTTCATACTGGAGTTTCTGACAGGTCTGTGTGGAGCCCAAGTGGAGGCCAGCCAGGTGCCAAAAGGAATCAGGGGTCCAGGCCCAGCAAGGGCTTACTTTCTCTCAGAATGCTAGATAAGGGTCAAGGTGTAGCTTTCAAACCCATGTGTGTTCCCCAAGGAGAAAGAGCGAGACCTGAGGGCTGGCACTCCTGGAGACACCAGGCACGTTGGAGACCCCGGGAAGCCTGTGCCTGTGGCTCTTACCGGCAGGGCCTGCTGCTGCAGAGTGTTGGGGGCTGACTGGTGGCGGCTCTTATCCAGCTCGGCCTGCAGCCTTGCGTTTTCTGCCAGCAGCGCCGTGTGCTGGTCAACAGGCAGGTTCTCTCCTGTAGGACCCGGGGAAGTCCACAGCATGTGAGATGGCCACAGATGTCTGTGAGACCGGTTTTCCTACCTCCATGTCCCCGGTCTGATCTGCTCCAGCATTTGGCTTCATTCTGCCCCTCCGTTGCTCCCAAGCCTTCGCCGGCTCCCCACTGCCAGTGGGATCAGGCCCGTCCTCCTCAGGCATTTGTTCTCTGCTCTTCAGCATCTGACCCCAGTGTCTGCCCTCCCACCCCCTGCCCCAGCCATTTGTCCTGGGTCTACTGCAGCTCTTCACCTCTCTGCCTCTCCTCCCTTCTCTGCTTCTGGCATGGCCACTCCCTGGGCCTTTGCCCCAGCTGAGTCCCCTCCCGAGGTGGCCTTCTAGTCTCTCATTCCACTCCCGGGTGACCTCAGGGTTCCCGAAAGGCAGGCCTTCAGAAACGCCCGCCACCCCCGGCCCCGTGCAGTGGAGGCTGAGTGCAGGCTGGGCACACAGGGCCCCTGGGGAGGCTGCACGGTCAGGCTCAGGGAGGTTCTCTGCGTGGGCCTGACACGGGCGACCTGGTTCTCTCCTGCTACCGCCAGCTCCGAATGGGAGTTCTAGGGAGCTTTGGTTAACATCAATGGAGAAAACAAACCATTGACTTACCCAAAGTGTGTTTGTTTGTTTTATAGAAGCAGATTCTTTGGAAATATGGGAGATGAAGAAATAATTGGAAGGG